ATATATATATATAGTGTCTGAATTTATATTGTGTGCAACAAATAATCGAACAAGAATATGCGCAACAAAAAAATCAGCCCATGGAATCATGACTGTCTGTCACATTGCCTCCCCCTCCCCCCCAAAAAAGGACTGTATTTGTCTGGGGGAGGATTTGATTAGCTAAATCTGTGCTCGCAAGACATCGATAGGGTGTGTAGGAACCACAATCTATCGACTGTTTGTCTTGTTAGTCAAATGGTATGCTCTTGAGGCACGTTTCGTACTTCAATGGTGCCTGATCCGCCCAATCAAGCCAGTAGCCACTGCGACCGGGATGTCCTGGAAACTGTTCATATGCACCTTCAGGGCTTCTTAATCTTCTTAGATGTCCGGACTACTTGCCTGTGGCTCGTCAACCCGGTAATAGCTCCGGATATTAGTTTTTCGTCTCTGGTGAAAAGATTCGTCTCGAACAGGTAGTGATTAGGGTCCTTTATTACATGCCACGGGGTGTATGAAGATGAACTACATCGATGACAATCCACTGCACAACGTTGTTAGCTCGCCCTCGAAGGGTCAGATCAAAGAAAACATACACGCCGTTTCAAAATGAAAGGCATGTATTCTCACAAAGCGATTGTAAAGTTGCAACTGTTTTCTTTCTATTACACACGTGACGCGAAGACCTGCTGTTTAGTGATGGAAACCGATAACCTAAGCCTCGGGCTTGGAGTGGCAAATCACATAAGACTCCACCGGACGACAGCAAAACTGTCTACCAAACAAGTTGGCTGGCGGTGGTGTTATTCGAACCTCAGACCACAGGACCTAAGCGATAGTGACTAAACCACTGCACCATCACCACTCAACGAGCAATTGTCGAAAAAAACAGACTCTCACCTGTTGAGTTAAACGCATAGCTGGCGTACTTGCTTCTGATCCGGTCGAAATGCGGATTGAATCGCCCAGAATCACGAGCCGAACAACACCTGTCGCATCTGAGACAACCGATCGAGCCCAGTTCCCGGAACGACGGAGCCAGTCGGCCAGGAGTTGCAAATTCATCGCATGACCAGGCGACGTGGGTCCGGTTCCCGTGAAGCCCAGTCCGGAGACCAGAGCAAGCCACGGCCCCGTGCTTGCGAATTCAGTGCATGTTTGAACGGCTTTTTTCACCGTGTGTGGCTGGATAGGTCGTTCAGGTTGTGGTTCAACAAAGAGGAAGTCTTCAACGATGAATGAACCTGGAACGGATTGAAGGGGATAAGAAATACAGATGGATAAATCCAGGAGAAGTTACTGCTCATTTGAAAAATCACCAAAAAAGAGTGGTTAACTTATCACTGTGGTACACATTAGAACCTTTATCACTTTGGATGCTTAGGATTAATCTCCGGTTAAGCAATTATTCAACGGAGAATCGGGATTTTTGCACTGAGAAAAATACCTATCAGATATTAATCTCCGATTGAACCGGCAATAAATAAGATGAAACTGAATCAAGGCGGCACATTTGTGGTAAGTGTGAATTGAAGGTGCTGCAGATGTCGGAAAACAGGATTTCGCTGTAACAAACAGAGTGGAAAGCCGTAACTAGATTAGTGGAAAAATATACTATATCTCGGGATTGGAGGATGACAGTGCTGTTTCCCAGTTTGTTTTTTATGGCATCTTTGGGTGATGGTGGCCCGGTGGTAACGGCACCAAAGTATCACCCCGGGGATGCGTTCGAATCCCATCACCAACGCCTGACTTTCCCCGTTGTGTGTTGAATGACAGCCCTTTGATTGGCCGCTTCCCCCTTTCTGAAAATTGTATCTTTGTATATTCAATCAAAGGAAGTAAAATGAAAAGAAAAGAAAAAAGACGACCGCAGACGGGGTAGATCCTCATAGTCATATTCACTCGAGGAAACATGCAACCTTAAAGCCGTGAAGTGGCGAACCGCATAATGACCGGTGAGGTTAGATTTAGTCTTGAGTCGGACGACAGTGCAGTTGCCTACCACAAGAGTTGGAGTGCGGTAGTGATATGAGTTCTTTCTAACTATCATTATTGAAAGAACGAAAAATTGGGACAAAAATTGCAAAAACGTGCATCAATTTATCAACAATAAGCTCAAGATGTACCTCGGTCCGTAGACGGTTCATGGCCCAGTACAGCCATAACAACACCAGTAACGAGTTTTGAGCTGGTTAAACGATTCTGAAGCGATTCTTGATCCACCTTGAGCATGATACGCTGTACTTCATCTTCAAGAAAAGTTGTGTCATCTGGACTGAGTAGGCAATTTCCATCTCCCGTCTCGCCAGCCACAATGGCGGAATCTGATGAGGCCAAATCACGAAGAATGCTCGGCTTCAGCTTCATTTCCTGACACAGAGGAAGGCATACACAAAACTCACTACTATTACTTCTCCTATTAAACAACAGAGTATAAGTATCTGACTCTAAGCAGAGGTTCACAACAGATCCCAGATTGTGGTTATACGGGTTGGAAAATCATGGAGAATACTGGTTTTTATCACCTCTCTAATCCAAAAAGAAATCCATACTGCATATTAACCTGCGGCAGAGAAAGTGAGGAAAACTATCGAGCATTGTTTGAAACGTTCATGGACAGGTGAAATTTATTTAACGAACATCTAACAATTAGATTGACGTATAGATCATCTACGGATGAGCTTGAAATCATGACCGGTTTAGAGAATGTCCTCCGGTGAAACGGATACCTATTCCAGTCGTCCTCCACCACCACTTGCATCATCACGGCATTCTTACGCGATATGATATTAGAGCGTGTGCTGGGCATGCCACTTCCTTAGTAAGTAATATTTGTCGAGACATACATAGATTGAAAGGTCAAATTGTGACCGACAGTGAAGACAAAAGAACTTTTGGTAGTGAACTTGGCAACGTAGGTCGTGTTATTGCGATCCTTGGTGTGGGCGATCGGAAACGATCTGATCAATGGGTGAATGAGTTGTTAGCAATAAAACCCATACAACAACTTACTTGTATAACATACGTTTCTCATAGTTTAAAGATTGCTTTTGGTAGCACACGTTCTTGGTTTTTGTCATTTCTACCTTGGTTGAACAGATGGATAATCTCCAAAACCCGAGCGTGAACGTGTAAGGGGATCAGTTNAATAAATTACAACCGCTGATCGCACTCACCTGATCGAGTTCATATTTTTTAACTTGGATGTACCGGTATAGTATGGTACTAATCTGTTCCCTATGGCATTATTACTGAATTTGAAAGCTTCAGTTGTAGTAGCTGTTAAGCATCGAGCACAAAACTGCTGCAGTTTCTAGCCCAACTTGTCGCTTGTGAATGCAACAATGCTACGAGTAATTGGGTCTAGTAATCAATCAGTCGGCTGAAATATTCCCATTTTCATCTGACCAACCGAAATCGACAAAAGATGGGAAATCGTTTCAGATAAACTTGTAATGTTATAATTCCAAAAGGCGGTGTTAGTCGAGGATAGTCGGCCATTGAAGAGTACAGATGGGAGGTTTGTAATTTTGCATGCACAACATAAAAACCTAATCAGAAACGTGCTATCGCAATTCTTTCCGAAACACAGGATAATGTATAGAACATTCAGTGGTTATTCTTCCAAACACATCACTTGGCCCTTGATGGTCTTGTTATGTTTTTGATCATCGAAAGTTACCCACTAATCACAAGCGAGTAGTATCTCACGACACTCCTCCCCCGGCGAAAAGGATCCCTGCATGTCTTGACCAGTGGACGACTGTTTCCTGGACTGTGATCGCGTTTGTCTCCGATTTTCGACGTTGGGCGGTGTCATGCCTGACCTCGTCTAATTGGATTCTGGAATTTCTTTTGTCAGTTTACGGCGTACATTTCCCCGTGCCATGTTGCGAGATCGTTCCGACGGACTTCATTAATCCATTGAATTTTGTACACGGGATGGCGTTGTTCAATTATGCGGTATGGACCTTTCCATTTGGGAATTAACTTCCTCGAGCCAGGACCGCTCGCGAATCCCCCAACATGCTGCTTACACTTTACTTTAGATCCAACCGGAAGCACACTGGCCGTCCGTCTAGTTTGTATCCTAGACTTGCGCATTGCATCCTGCTGCGCCTTCTTCAAGTATTTCGGGCTTCATGTCTTGTCTGTTGAAGTTGTTGTGGAGATAAATCGTTTCGTGGCCAAATGCCAACGTTGAGATATACTGGCAGCTTCGGAATTCTTCCATTCATCAGTTGAAATGGTGTATGCTTGGTACTGGCCTGCAGGGTTGAGCGGTACGCCAAAAGTAGGGAGGGTAGGGCCGATTCCCAATCCCCTTTTGTCGCTGACAGCCATTCTTTGATTGTTCTGTTATTTCGTTCAGTGAGGCCATTGGTTTGTGGGTGAAAGGGCGTTGTGCGTATCTTTTTGATGCCTAATTTCTGTAAGCACGTGCGAAATCCATCACTCTCAAAGCACGGGCCTTGATCCGTAAGAGTGGCTTGCAGTACACCGTGATTCACCACGATATGCTCTATCACAACTCTGCTTATCGTAGCGGCTTTTTGATCCGCGAGTACTACGGCTTCAAACCAGCGTGTGGAGTGCTCTGTCATTACAACGATGTATTGGCGTCCTCTTGGAGAGATCGGAAATAGACCCATGAGGTGGATGGACCACAACTCACCGATCTCGGATACTGGTATTGACTGAATTGAACATTGTGATGGGCGGGAGTTTGACTTGAAAAGTTGGCATTTTTCACATGCCAGCACCTAGACTGTCATATCAGCCTGCATATTTGGCCAATATGCCCCCTGTCGAAGCAGATCGTAGGTTTGAGTGCATCCAGTGTGCCAGTTCATGACTTTCTTTGATAAGGATTTGGCGCAGCTGTTTCGGAATGACGACCACGGGGCACCTTCTTCCTGGCTGTCGTTTCATTAAGATGCCAGCGGCATTCAAATAAAGCTTCTTCCATACGGATTGCCATGACTTCATGTATGTACTATGTTGCACGTTGCAGTATTGCTGGCCTTGTGAGATTACTTCGATCACCT